TCTACAATAGTTATAGTAATATTAATGATAAAATAATGGTCAGTGCAAAGTAGCCTGCAAATTTTTTTTGGTGGGGGGGCGGTGAGGGACCTGGATAAAGGCTAGGGGGGCGCTGGCACAAAAAAGGTTGAGAAACACTGGATTAAATGAAAAATGTTTTCTCCTTTGTTTTTGTAAAGTGCCTTTAGACTACATTTATTCTTAGTTGGTGCTATAGATGTCCTGAATTTAACCAAATCGTATTATTCTCACTGAAACACGTTATAACAAATTACATTTTTGAGATTCTAAAAACATTTTAGCTTTCATATTTTAGCAATATGAGATTATATATTTATATATATATTTTAGTATATTTAGAGAAGTTTTATAAATAAGCAAAAAGCCTGAAGCAGTTTTAGCATGTTACAGTTGTCATAGCAGGAGGAAAATGGCAACTGAGAGCAGCTATAAGAGGTGCAGTACTGCTCATATTAGATATGGTCAACTACATCACCGTTTCATCTAAAAACCAACCTGACAACATATTCAGTAAAAAGAAAAAAAGAAAAAAAAAAGCTGGAATTGATTTTATTTTTGTTTTAATTGATCCAGATTTTCTGCTCACACATAAAATCAGGAACTTGTGTTTCCCTTTTCATGTCCTCCAGTATGTTAGGTAACAATATTATTATAAAATATATTTAACTTTAATTGTATGCTTCTGGGACAACATTTTTTTCAAATCAAATTTTAAGTCGATCGTTTTTAAGAAACTAGTCCTTTAGCACACAAACTATTGCTCATAGGTAGGTGGCGCCCTTGCATGGTGTCTTCCTATAGTCTAAGTATGAAATTTAGTTTTTATGTTTGTATAAAAAGACGTTATCTGGCGCCCAATCACAAGGCCTCATTGAGCTGAAACTACTCTTGATAAGGATATTAATATATAATGCTTTCTTGAAATAATGATGACATTTCTAAGCTCCTTTTAATGCAAACATGATATTTAAGCATGCAGGGATACCAAGATAAAATGCATAAATGAGCAATGAAAAAAAAAAAACTATACCTGAAATTTCACTGAAAAGCTTAAAAACAGAAATATGCCTATAAAAAACAAAAGGAACTGAGTGATGGTGAAAGAAAGTACTTTCAGTTCAAGGCTCTTTTTAACAAAATTATTTGGTATTTCCCAGTTGCTGTGTGTGGAAACCAAAATGCAGCCAGTGGAACAACTTTCATCAGTGATAATTTAAGATGGTCAGTTGATAAAAGTTGCTCAGACTGATGTCCTCTTTTTGTTGACGTCTTGTCGCTCACTCAGTCGCAACTTCTGCAAACATAAGTCCTGATGTCATGTTTTACTAAAGGGAATTGTTTTTTTTCTTCTTGATTACACGGTCTTTTTTTAATATTGATGTCATGAAAAATATTGATGTCATGAAATTACACAAGTTCTCTTAGCAACGCACTGTCTTTCCTGTTACGGCCACTCTGGGGAAGATGGGTAACTTCCAGTAATGCATAATTATTTCCTGTTGTAGAATGGTTGAATTAAAAAAAAAATCAAAATGTATTATAACTATTTGTTCTACAAAACAAAAAGGAAATATTGTTTCAAAGGTTATTTGTCATCTCTTTCCATGGAAAGTGCTCTACAATGGTCTAGATGAGAAAAAAAATAGGTTCCTGTTTTGACAAAATGTCTTTTTAACTTGGAAAACTGCTGAGGACGACATCCTATACGACACTGGTTATTCAAAAGTGAAACCTAAATTTCGGGTGTTTGGCTGAAATGTCCAGTCTGTTGCCTGTTCTGATCTCAATCTTCTCAAAGGTCAGTTGAAGGAACAAATGTTAACCAGTTTGTAGCATTGGTAACGCTTTATTTGAAGGGGAGGCTGACATGACATGACATGACACCAGGTATGAACATGAAGGAGACTTTGAGTGTTTATGACTGTTGTCATGAAGTGTCATTCGGTAAATAATGACACTCTTAAATACAAAGTTGACACTTTGGATCGACTTTTAATTCAAGCTTTAATGGAACTTTGCATTAAAAGTTTCATTATTTACTGAATAATGTGAAGTTGGCACTTTTAAAGAGCTTTTAATGCCCTTTCTGTGCACCTCTGTGTTAAAAGCGTCACTATTTACTGAATGACACTTTATGACAACATTCGTAAACATTTCTGAAGAATCGTTCAGTCGCATTTTTGTTGTTGTTGCTTAAGCAATTCAGATATTTTGAAGAGGTCCCAATTTTAGAAGGATAAAAAAAAAAGCTGAGCATCATCTGCATAGAAGTGATGACATTATGAAATCTATTAATAATCTGTCCATGAGGCTACCAAAATGGGCCCAAAACAGGAGCCTTTTGGTGCCAAGACAATGTTTTTTGGGGTTTAGTCCCCAAAATCCTCTGAAATCCAGTCGAACTGGCAAAGCCTGCCTCATTTTGTCAAACGCTGCTATTCCATTGTCATCTGATTTGTCTATTGCTAAACCTCGACGCTGTGCAATCTGATGTGTGTTTCTTGGTACATTCAAGATCTACGCTAAAACCTTAGGCCAGAAGTGAGGTGAACTTTCTTTCGCCTTTGTCTGAACATGAGCAGAAGCTAGCAGGGGGCCAGGGCTGTACCTGATCCTGATTGGCTTAGATGACCGCTCGCTGTCAGACAGAAGGCCACGCCTCCAGCAGCAGCTGTGCATAATGTAAAACCACTTCAGCAAAAAGACTCAGACAGTTCCTGTTTTGCTGCACTTGCCATCTTGAGTGTGCAGTTAAAGGGTCCGTTTAAAAAAAAAAAAAAAAAAAGCTCCAATAGGAGGATGTGGCGCTGGTATTTCCCCCTGCTGGCGCCTCTCAGCTGTAGTTGATAAAGGATGATCCAGGACGGCCATAATTATTGGTAAGAGTTTTGATTTTTTCAAATAATTTCATTTCCTTTGGAAGGAAAAAAAATATGTTATTTGTGTTATACTCTCTTATTTAGGTGTTTTAAGTTACATTTCTGATATATTTATTTATATATATATTTTAGTTTTACTACACACCCTCTCTACAGGAGAAGCGAGCCTCTTTCATAAAGCTTACACAACAACTGCATACTGTTTTTCAAGCTCTACATGTTTCCTGTTCCCCTTCCTATTAAGTCTGTGCCAGTTTGATCAGGACATCACACATTTGTGCGCGCATGAATTTTGATCCTTTAAGGCTCAATTAAGCAGCCTAAAGACTTGGTGAGTCTTCAAACCTGACGACATGAGGCCTCAGTCGGCGTTTTCGCTTCGTGACAGGTCAGGTTTTACACAGAAGTGCCAGACAATGCTGCCTGCCTGACTTACTTACAAACAGATCGCCACCTGCTTCCTCCGTGGACAATTCACCATCTGGCTTTGTCAAAGTGGGACATTTCAGGCACTTTTGAGGAAGGAGAAGTTGAGAGTGGAAAATATATTTAAAAGTCACTCTGTACCTTGATGTCAAACTGCTGAAGGCTTGCGGTTAAGCAGCCATCTGCCACAACTAACTAGTGGTTTGAAAAGACAGGAGAGAAGCACGGAAAAGAAACGAGAAACTGATGTAAGAGTACTTTCTCTATTGTAGAGAAGTAAAAAAAAGTTTAAAGCAATGGAGGGCAACGTTTAGTGGCTGGTAGCTTTATGTCAGCACCTCTTCCAGGAAGGCAGAACAGTCAAACAGATCGCCAGGCCAGATGCAGCTTCTGTGGAGAGAAAACACGAGAGACAACATCAAGTCGACTCTTGAAATGGATAGTAACACAAAATTGGAGAGTAGTAGGAGAAGGAAGAAGGTGAGTGAGAAGGCTAAAATAGAATAGAAAAACCCACAGTGCAGAAATTCAGGTGTGAAAGTAACAACAAGCAAGTCGGAGCGTGTAGATTCACACAAGGTAAAAATATGACAACAGAAAATAGCCTAAGAAAAATAAAAAAAACTCTAATCCGAGAAATGACTGAGTTGGATAACTTGTGGTGAAGAGGAAGGTACGAAAAAGATGTTATTAAAGCTACAGAATGCAGCTTTTACAAAAATATATTTAAGACTGTCTTTGTTGTGACAGTAATATGAGACAGATGATCTGTGAAAAGATCACTCTCCACCTGCTCCCTGACCTACTACTGCCTCCTGAAGAAATGCACCGCTCCTGACCAGAAACAACCAATCAGAGCCTGGGAGAGTGTGTCGGCGCTGTCAATCACCCCTGTGAATGTGCTGAACATGTGCTAATGGCGGAGAAACAACTTACCATTTCAGGACAACTATCAATCCACCGTCATCGGTGGTTATGCCAACTTGCCTTAGCATGATTGACAGCGCTAAGACCCACTTCCTGACTCTGATTGGTTGTTTCTGGATAGCACTGGGAGAAGAGAGAGGAGCTAAAAAAATTTCACAGATTATCTCATATTGACATTGTCACTGTTTCAACAAATATGCAAAAAACATGTTTTTTAAAATAAGTCATATCTTGCTGCTTTGAGGCAGCACTCTTAAGAACTATACTCAGTAAGCTGTTTTTTTTTTTGTTTGTTTGTTTATTACAACTGGATCATATTTAATTTAAATCGTTGTAAATACCCTTCCGGTTCCACTCATAAAGCATGTTAAGCTCAACAACAAGGCTGATTAAAGTCCTGTGGAAGAACACTCAGTGTAACGTACAAACAGGTCAGGGAATGAACAATAAAAAGGAAGCAAAAAAATCTATACAAAGGAATAAAAAATTAGCATAAGACAAGTCTATTCACAGTGAAGGGAAACTCCATCAAGTTCCAAATTTCCATTCAGTATAACCACTGAAAGCATCTGGTCTGACGATCCGAGGGAAGAAATTGGACTAGAATAATTTTAAATTCAATTCGTAGAAGCAAACTGAAATGTTGGGGAAATGTTTAACTGGACCAGTCATAAAAATCAAGTGGTGCCATCAGTAGAGTTAGGGAAGCTAATCCCAAAAAGCACAACGTCACAGTTATCTTTTTAATAGAAAAGGTTTGAGTTTTAAGAAACACCATAACCAGAAACGGCTGGATTTCACCCCAAACTCTACTTGACTGAATTTTTATCCCCAATCATGTCTAATTTCTTCCTTAAGTCATCCACAGATTCATAGTCCTACAGGCCGAATATTCTTTCTTGTTGACATCTGGTCAGTTTTTTTTTTTTTTGAGTACAGTAGGCCCAGCCCTGGCTATTTTGATAACTTTGTCAGTGCCAAACTGGTATACTTGAAGCACAACCTTCGAGTCACTGAGTCAAATATGTTCCTGAAGATTTACAGCTTGGTTACTTTTTTTTTAATTATTAATTTTTGAGCTTTTAAGGGTAGCTTGATGAAAAACGTTTCGAGGAGGATCTGAAAGGAAGTAGACCTGCAAGGTTTCCATCCCAGGTCTGAGTCATAAAAAAAATCAGATGTGGACGACTAATTTTAAGCAGAAAAAGTAGAAGCTGTGGCGTCCGTTTTCCACCAGCTCATCTCCGGTCCACTCCGATTGTCTGTGACTCACTCATGGGAAGTGTCAGGCTGGTTTCAGTGCTGACATCTGCGTCCGAGCACTTGTTTTCTGCGTGAGCGAGCCTTTCATGTCAAGCTCGGTCTGTTTTTGTCGCTGGGATGGAGCAAACAATGATTATTATTTACTGACACCGTCAGCAACAGGAAGTTGGGTCGACTGACGGGACCTTTTCGGTTCACCAGGAACAGAGGCAAACGGAAAGGACTTCCTCTTTGTTTGTCTTTTTCTACTTCTTCTTCTTACATCTGTGGATGTTGGGATGGTCTTACAGACGATGGAGCAGAGCTCGTGCACGGAGGATCGCATCCAGCATAGTCTCGAGCGCTGCCTCTGTCACCTGGGAGTCGACTCTCCCGACAAGAAGCTCTGGAATGGTAAGACACGAAAAATATTTGCTTTCAGCGTTAATGTTATGACACGAACGTCTGGAGGATGAAAAAATATACACATATAAATTATGAGACAACTAGCTAGATAAAGCTAACTGCATGAAAACGTCTTGTCTGGTTAGAGAAAGTGGGAAATGAAAGTGGTAACGCGCGCGCGGAATCATCCCACAACAGTTTTGAAATATCTAGTTTCATTCATAAAGTCACAGAGAAGAGAAACCGGGGTGTGGATGATGTGGGTGGCATTCATCACTTTTTTGTGTGTATGAATCGTCAGAACAACCTGTTAGCGGATTTATATAAGAATGAACCCCCACGAGCAAACAAAAGAGAACCACGCTCGGCTCACAGGTTGTGTCTGTTTCTGTCTTTCGAATAAGCTGGACTGTGCATAAGCCGCTGGTGTTTGGAGGAACTTGTGAAGAGGCATCCCCACAACTTCCTCATCCTTCTGCAGAAAATACTGCAAAAAACAAAGGAGGTGAGTTAAAAAACAAAAAACAAAATAAACACGCAACCCGCATCCACGTCTGAAATCTGTTTCAGTTCATATTTTGAATTGTTCCGCAGGTTCTGAAGGAGTGCCAGTATGAACTGGTGGTTCCCCTGACTCTCCTGTTCTCTGCTGCTCTTCTCAAAGTGAGTGTGTGTGTGTGTGTGTGTGTGTGTGTGTGTGTGTGTGTTGAGAAAATTAAGGAACAAGTGCGCACTGTTCCTTTTTTTTCCAGTTTTGTTGTGCATTCAGTCAGCATTTTTTTTCCTCCCTTTCTCTTTTATAGAGCCCATATTTAGGCGCAGGATGCGGTGTCCTCCAGGAGGCCTACCTGTTGTTCCACCGGTTCCTGGCCTGGCCCGAGCCTTGCAGCTCGGCCAGCAAACGTTTACTCGTCATCATCGAGCAGGAGATTCGCGCACCAGGTGAAATTCTATGTTTTCTGTGGCACGCAACTCCAACTTATTTGCAGAAATTTTGACAGAAAATAAAAAATATTGATGCAAAATGTTGCTTGCACCATGAAACAAAGGGAATAATTGATGAACCTCACTGCTTTCTTGTGGATGTTTCCATCAATTTGCTTTGAGAAGTTTTTAGTTGTGGAGTCTGAACTATTAAAACATTTACAGAGCTATCAGATCCTGTTCACACTTTATTGCCTTTTTATTGCAGGTATTTCATTTCAGCGACTAGTAAGGACAGAGCAGGCTATTTCCTCTGACATTAACTGCTCTAAAATCTTGTAAGTACATAGTTCAGCTTCACAATAACAAAAACAAAATTACAGATATTGGATACATCTTAACTATCTGTAAATGTCTGTATCAGAGTGGTCCTGTTGGTGAGTCCAGATGCTGACGCCCCCCAGGAGGTCCAGCTGACCTCTGAGCAGCTCAGTACCATGCATTACTCCAGCAGGAACACCATAACAACTCTTATCCTGCATAGCTTTCAGGCTGCTTTCGGTACCAAACTGGACCTTCGGGTTCTCCACGCAGCCCTGCAGGTAAACACCCAAAAACACGGATGACATTTTAGTTGTACCACTTTGTCCTTGTCTTTTGTCAAAGAACGTCCTTCTTGATTTAACCTCAGGAGAAAGAGCTGTATGAGCTGGAGCAGCTTTATGAGACGATAACCGGCAGCATGGAGGCGGCGACCTCTGTGGCGGATCACACGGCTGCCAGGGAGGGACTACTCCGCAGCTTGGAGAAGCTCAGAGAAAGTCTCTCTGTCCCTTCTGGTGACGGCTGCTCAGAGACTGGTGAGGCACAAAGACAAGCCCCGTATACAGTGCCTTCCAAAACTATTCTCCTTTTCCAATTTTAGTTGTGATGCATCCTCAAGTTTCAAAGTATTTTACTGAGGTTTTGTATAGCGGCCCAAGACAAAGCAGTGCAGAGGTTTCTCCATATATATATGCATTCAGGCTCCTTGAACAGGACGGTAAGCCTTCTGTGTTTGGTCTGTACCACCTTTACTCATCTATAGACTAATATGTCTGGGCTTTCCATTGTTTGTTGAGAAATAGCTCAGACTCCGTCAGATTGGTTGGAAAGTACCTGTGGTTATGACGTCTTCCCACAGTTACTCAATAGGACTGACTGGGTTGACTAAGTTTTGGACCTAAAGCATTCTATCATTTCTCTGGCTGTAAGTTTAGAGTTGTTATCCAGCTGGAAGATGAACCTCCAACCCCCTCTAAGGTTTTCTGTAGTCTGTTGAAGGTTTTCTTCCTGCATTGCCTTGAATTTAGCTCCTTCAATCTCCCCATCAACTCTGACCAGCTTTCCTGCCCTTACTGAAGAAAATGCAATCAAACATCCACCACCACCATGGTGGGATGGTGTTTACAGAACAATGTGCATTAGCAGTCTTCTGCAACATATAGTGTTTTGTATTGAGCCCAAAAAGTTGAATTTATGACACATCTGACCAGAGCACCTTCTTCTACCTGACTGACTGCTTTCTCATTTTAGGGTCTTTAGAGAGCCTAATGCTACCCTACCCCAAATGCCACACATGCTTATGGGATGACGACAATTTTGGTAATTCAACATATTCCATCAACTCTTAGCTGCTGTGCATCAGTATCGTTTCTCCAACTCTTGTTCCTGTCTTCTCGTTCATCCAGATGTTCTAAAAGACCTGCTTTCAGTCGACTCTGACCTGGACTCCCCTCCAGAATGTTTCCCCAAAATCGACGAGGATGACACTTTTGACACTAGCATCGACGAGGAAGACGAGCAGGACTCCTCGATCAAACGGTACGATCAGTTTCAAAGCCATCGGATCTCCACCGCCTCGTCTTCCTCGAGGGACTCTACCTTCTCGGGATACTCTCTCTCCTCCAGTTGGTCCGTGCCGTCTGTTTCGTCGGGAGTGGAGAGCGACTTCAGCGAGGACATGGCGCACGAGGACACCGAGGAAGGGCAAGGCAGCCATCTGAGAGTCAGAAAGAAACCGAAGAAAAAGTCCAAATCCCTCTTGGGATTGGAACGCTTCTCCTTGCTCTTCAAGACTCCGCACAGTCCGAGCACATCTCGCCGCGTTCAGAGCATGGGCTACAACGGAGACATCACCAAAGACTACCTGATGACGGGGGCACAGCTCAAACACTCTGGGACCCCCATGAGACATATTCGTCATCTCAATGTGTCTACGGCCCCTATAGATCCTTCTGCTCCCCAGAGGCACATCTGCGTCCGCAGGAGGCCAATTCTGAGCTGCGATGAGGGGAATGAGGCAGAAGCACTGACCGTCGTCAAGGTGGTCACGTTTGGGGGTGACAGAGAGGCTGGGAGACTCGCTCGGGCGTACAGCGACCTGCAGCAGAAAGAGAGAAGGTGTCCCCAGCTCACAAGGACGTGCAAACTGCAGTTTTACTTTGTTCCCACAAAGAGTAAAACTGTGAGTCCAGGAGCAGGACACATGCCTACAGAAGGGCAGGTACTGCAACCTCTCCACAAGAGATTTGACGCTTTTACTTCAAAGAAATGTTTAAGGCGTCTTTCTTAATTTTTCTTCAATGTGACAGGAGTCAAATTGCCAAGAAGTGGAGGACAGTACAACAGATATAGCCCAGATGTTGGGTATGATGGACCCCTGGTATGAGCGCAACGTCTTCAGCCTGCTGAGCTTGTCCTCCGAAGTTCTCAGTGAGGTAAATGACTCCAGAATTAAATAACATATGTTTTTGTAGAACCACCAGAAGCAAATGGTGGTTCTTTGTTTTTTTTTGTTTTTTTTAAGTTTGAACGCGGACTGAAGATGTAATATTGAAATTTAGTGTGAAGAGCTAATTGGGGTGCCTGATTTATCTCACCAGTAAGGATGATGGTGAAAGATATAAACTGTCCACTGTTAGGGAACTGTCTTTATTGGACGCAATATTTGACACATTAATTACTTTATCAAGTCATCTATTTATTTCAGCATTTATTGCCAATTCTGGCAGGACCAGTCCAAAACTGGCACTCCTTAGTTGTGGTATTTGTTTTTAAAAGCAAAATTTAGAGACCCCCTGCTGTTTCTTTTCCCCCTAATTTCCCACGACTCAGGCCCCTCCCAAGGAGGACGACGTCTCCTGCGGCACCGGCGCCACGGAGCACCGCCTCCCCCTGCTGGCCGACTTGGTGCTCTATTACTGTAGACACGCCGATCAGCCCATTCTGGTGCAGCTTTACCAGGCTGAGGTCAGAGGTCAACCTCAAGCAGCAACACATATCAAACACATCGACCCCGCCCCACTGTCTTAAATGTTCTGGTTCCTTCCTCTGCACAGCTGACCCTGGAAGGGGGAGAGAAGAGAAAGGAAGTGTTCATTCATTCCTTGGAGCTCGGACACACAGCTGGAGCCAGAGCTGTTAAATCCATGGGTTGGTCACACTCTGCGACACACACACACACATAAACAACAGCAATGAAAGCACACCTGTTTGTGTAGATTCATGTATGTCGCATTGTTTTTGAAGGCGCTGCGAGCAAAAGGTTGGGAATAGATGAAGAGCGGGAGGCCGTTCCCCTCACCCTCAATGTGGCCTACAACAAGGTATTGTTCCTTTACACTTGCTTCCTGCTTTGCAAACAAACGTTTCTATTTCCTTCAGCCCCAAACTAATCCCGACTGCGTCCTGTTTACAGGTGGCCATCAGCGGGAGAAGCCACTGGATCCACAAAGAGGCGGTCTGCACCTCCATCAACCTCAGACACTCTGAGCAGCTGGGTCAGTCTACACACTACGGAGCTAAATTGGGGCCATAAAAGAAAAAGAGGGGTGACAACAGCTTTCCTATGAACAACCTTGATGGCCTCATTTTAGCTCAAGCCACACCCCAACTCTGCTTCTTCACCTTCTAAATGAAGTGCTTTAAGTTCATCTTCCAATTTTTTTTCTTTGTTTGTTTGTGCTTTTTTCTCTATCCAGATTCTAAAGAGGGCCTGCAGCTGACGATGACAGAGGTTGTGAAGAAGCAGAGCTCCAAATCTAAAAAGGGTTACAACCAGGTGAAGGCTGGTTTTATAGTTACAATCTCTATTTTGCAATCCTGTTTTAAAGCCACATCCCAGTAAAACCAGTCAATCTCACATCAGGAACAGTGAACCATCTACACAACATTGCGTCATGGTCAGCTTCTCTCTATTTTAGTGTAGATCATGATTTAATCAAGATAAAATCCACCCTCCTGAGAACAAACCTGCATGCACACTTTCCTCCAGTGACGTCACAGAAGGCATGAGGCAACAAGTCAGTTGGTTTGAGTAATTTCATGTGCATATTTTTTGCTTTTTCCTCCGTATTTGTATGTTTTTAAACCAATTCTGCATTAAAAAGTGTTTACTTGCGCTCTGTGCAGCTGCAGCAAAACCGTAACTCGAGTTACGGTGACCGAGAGGCACAAACAGCGCAACGAGTTGCCAACTCCAAAACATGCAAATACAAAAACCAAAATGCGACAGAAAAACGTTGCAAATAATAAAAATAAAAAATGCTGCAATCACAAGAAAATGGAGGCAGAAATACATTCATTCAATAAAACAAAAAATGCTGGAACTGCAGACGAAAATAGAAGAAAAGGGGAAATGCAGCAAGTATGAAAAGCTGCGAAACAGAAGCTGATGAGGCCACAAATTAGCAAAAACCACAGCAAGTATGAAAGTCTCTGCCACAAAACTGGTTCCAGCTGTGCAGTTCAGTTCTTATACCTCTTGTGATGTCATCAACAAAAATACAAACAGAGCCGAGTTTTCAGTGGGTTTTCTTATTCACTTCTGTTTAATATCCCTTTATTTTGTGTAATCCTGTGGAGAAAATCCATACTTCTTTACCCAGCTCCATTTTTATTCTCGTTCATTCATCAGTAAAACTTGTGGATAGTTTCTTTAAAAAAATGAAAATAAATATGGACTGACTCTTGTGTTGGGGGCAGATCTTGATATCAGAAGTGAAGGTGGACAAGATGCAAGTGACTGCTCAAGGGAATGGGAGCACGTTCGCCGTTTGCCTGGATCAAGACAAAAAGATGTTCATCCAAAGTGTGAAGAGGTAACGAAGTCTGTCGTTGGGTCGAGAGAAGCGGAACGTGTTATTTATTTATTTTTTCCCCATCCAAAGCAAGATTTCTTTAAAAAAAAAATGCGTTTTTAAACGTTTGTTTGTCCGGTCTTTAGGTGTGAGGTGTCGCTGTGCAGCAAACCAGGTAGCAGTTCGGACTGGAGGTCCTACAAAACACTACCGGGCCAAATCCAGCCCCTCCACCCGACGTTCTGCTCCCTGCTCTGCCTCCCCGTCACTGCCTTCTCTGCAGGGGGTCAATGACCCCTGACCCCTGACCCCAGCTCCATCTGACACATCCAGAACCCAAAGAACACACCGAGTGGGAAAATCAAAGAATGGGGTTTAACATTTCATGTCAAGAAGCCAATGTCTATTTATTAACAATTTAACATTAAAAATACGTTTTGTGCTGTTGATATGTACATATCGTAATTTAGAAAAGAAAAAAAACAATTGACCGTTTTGTGTTAACACTTTGGTGTTAAAAACTGTATTATTTACTGTCTTATGTCAGTAGTTTTAAAAAGAAACAAAATTCGGTGCTTTAATGGCGTCTTGGTTGATACCAAAAACTGGTAAAGGTACACGTTGTAATATTTCCAAAGTTTTTTTCTATGTGTGGTAGTTTTAGTCTACTCAACAAGTCAGATGAAGACGTCACTAATGTTTCTTCAGTTCCAGCCGGAAGTAGACACTCCTTATGGCTATGATTGCCGTAGTAATGTTTGTTTGTTTTTTTTGTTTGTTTTTTTGTTTTGTTTTTTCTGAAATGATGACACATGACTTTAATGACGTTTAATAACACGAATCAGGTTAAACAAGTTTATATTTATTGTAATTTTTGTGGTAGTTTTGGTCAAGTTGAAGAGTTTAGAGGTAGTCCTTCTTTATTTATCAATCCATCCACTTTGTGTAGTTCAATTCAGTTCAGAACTACGTGGATGGAAATTAAATGTGGTCCCACCACCGTACTAACACGTTAACACTGTTCTGATAGGTGAGAAATTCTAATCCCGGGAGAATATATTTTCTGTCGTTTTGGCCGAATAACTCCATAATTGTACTTTGCAAAGTCTTTTTAGTTATTCAGAGTAAAAGGCAATTATTAAAGAATTGTAAGTCTGAGATTAAATTCTCTCGCACATTATTCTGGCATTTAGAAAATAATAATTCTGATAATCCTAAGAGACCTAAAACAGAAACGTTATATTTGATTCTACGTCAGACTAATGGAAAAAAATTAATTTGCAAATATTTGTCCGTCCGGTTCTTGTTTTTACAAATCACTGAAGCTGAATGGTATGTAAGAAACAGTTCATTAAAAGTCAATATAGTATTTATGCGTACAAAGACTAAATTAAAACTTGCTGCCTCTACTGTGTGTCACTAATTTGCCAACATTCATAGAAAACTGACTTGGTGACGTTTTTGAATTTTGTTTTAAAGTCAGTAACCAATATATGTGTATGATCATGTAAGCTATTTATTTCCATGTGAATCTAATCAACAGTCGTAATCATATAATTTATATTTAATTAAATCCTAACTGATTCTCAACTCAAATAAAACCATTTTTTTCCATCACAAAAGATTTCTTTTTTTTTTAGCCTTATGAGGACAAAAAATAGACATTTGAATTATTTACAAATGTCTTTAAATTGACATAAATTCAGTGAAACACATGAACATAAGCCTACAGCCAGAGCTTCAATAAAATCATTTTGATCAAAACAGATTCATGCGTTTGAAAAATATGCACTTTACCTCAACTTTACAATCACACACTACTTTGTTTTGATTTATCACATAAAATTCTTAAGTATTGGGAGAAAAATATTTTTTTTTCTTTAGTAGTTTTACTCTTTATGCTTGTATTTTCACATAAAGTATCTTACCCTGGCCTAATATATTTACGGTACCTGATGTATGTTGCTTTCATACGTTTTATGTTCAAAAGTTTGATTTGGATTTAGATTTGTTTTGTAATTATGTTACAATTTTTATTTACATTTTTAAAATACCAGAATTTTCACGTAATTTTATATTTTGTCCATCTGATAGCATCATTTTTAAATATTAAAATTGATGTTATGATCAGTTATTAAGCCTTTTTAACTAATGTTTTTTTTAATCTTATTAGTTGTGGACATTAATTTTCACACTAAAACGTGGGCGGCTTTTCTGGCGCACTGCAGCATCCGGACCACTAGGAGGAGCTGTAGCCATGAAAATATCACGTCAGGTGTCTACTTGTAGTTGCAGTTACTAAGCATGACAGGCTGCATGAACCGCCCCCCTGACTGCAGTCAGGTGTGTTTTGAACTAAACACGAAGGAGAAGAAAACCGTCTGGATGTCATGTCGCCACCAAAAGTGGAAAATGAAAAGTAAAGGAGTTTGAGGAAGAAAAAGGGAAAAACATCGGGTGAGGCACACATTTCTAACTTTGTGTCACTCTTTCTCTTCTTATCTTGCGGGCTTGGTGTGACGTGGACAAATGTACAGTACATCTTGACGTCCTGCTGGGACAGGTGTATCCAGCCTGACAGGTGTTCCCTCTTCCTTGTTTCTACTAAACTAACATATTTCGGCTTCGAGGTGCGATGCTCGTGTATCTAAATGTAAATAAAAAGTAATTTTGTTGCTATAATGTTAAGCATGAACAGACATTTTATACGCTGCGCCTTTAAGTTGGCTCGTTCTATTATCTATACTATGGCAAACCTGATCCACAAGATGCGTTGTTTCCTGTTACATACAGACTAATGGCAACAAATCAGACATGATAAAATCTTTTAACATTTGAAGGGTCTGTTTGAGTTTTTTTTTATGTTTTTTTTTGATAGTTTATATTCCAAATAATAGATTATTGCAGATGATATTTACATTATGACATTAAACAAGTCAGTTTTTTTTAAACTTCCTCGTTGAATATAAGGATGTTAATGTGGTGATGAATCTACACAGGAAAACCACTGACACGTTACCACTTCAAAAGTCTATGAGGTTTTTCACTTCCTACAGGTTTTTCACTTTCTTTTCACAAATTCTCACTTGGATTAAGGTCTTCGCTTTAACTAGGCCATTCCAACATGTCAAAATGGTTTGGTATTTTTACTTTCCAGTCAGCAAAATAAAACTCAGTTAGAGCTACAATTGCCACGACGTAAAAAAATAATAATAATAATAATTAAAATTAAATATTTATGATAGGAAGTTTTTTTTTTTTTAAGAACCACCATTTTATCTATATCTTGAGAATTTAAAATGAAGATTAAAAAAAGGACGGATCTTATTTTGAAAATAGATTATTGCAGGTGAGGATGGTAATGTGTAGATTCATCTAATCTAATAATTAGATCTTAATTTAGATCTAATAAGAAAATCAGATCTAAAAGCATATTGATACTATTTTCAGTGTCATTCTTTGTGGGAATTCAGTGAAAATATTGTAGAGATAAACTAAAAAAACATGTATTTGTTACTATATCTAAATTTCAAAACATTGGTTGGTTCTCTTTCATTTTTAGCCAAAATTATTAAGGGCCATTTTGCCATCTTTGAACTATGAAGGTAACAGTCACTTGATTGTGCTGTTAGATGGCACTGGAAAATACATAATATTGCCCAAATGGGCAGTGTTATTAACTCCTTGAAATTGGGCCTCTGTCTCGTTCAAAACTCCTGACCTTTCTGAAACTCCGCTTTGAGGAAGCAGTCGCATCACTTCTGTATTAACCCTTTAACAACATTTTTACAGGCGTTGCACTGAGAAGTAGCTCCTATAATTAGCTCAGCAGATGCTAGTCTGAAGGAGCTGAGTAGAGGACTCATGGGGAGAGCTGCTCTGTGAGGGAGAAGCTTGAAAACTGCAGCTCTGAGGAGGAGTTTCGTACTCAAAGGCGAAGCTAGGTCCATTTAGGCGTCTTGCACAGATGAATGATTGCCACAGGAGATTTAAGGATTTCTCAAAGACTCTGTATTAAAAGAAACACCTCACTAAGTTATTTCCTGTTTGTGTCTGCTTTTCTGAACCCCACTAGTTGCTACATGTGACATCATCTAAGAGACACTGTGCTGCTGGAGGACAACCATGAGGCGGACCACACAGATCGACGTCAAGCGCGCCCTTGTTCTGACAGCCACCTTCAGCTTCCTCTGCTGCTGCTCTAAAGCCTGCCTGCTCCCCTTCCTCACCCTGTACTTCCGCCAGCTGGGTCTGTCTCCATCCATGACTGGCATCGTCATGGCCATCAAGCACTCCGTAACCCTGGTGTGGAGTCCAGCAGCCGGTCTCCTCTCCAAGCGCTACAACAAGAGACGGCTGGTGATAAACTGCTCGCTCGTGTTTTCTGCTGCGGTTCTGCTGCTGCTGCTTCTCCCGTCTGTAGGGAAGCTTGGCGCACAGAGCAGCACCTGTAACACCTCTGACCTGAGCTCTGGTTCAGGCCAAAGTCAGTTGAATGTTACCCCTAGTCAGACGTTGCCAACACATACAAATTTAGTCATTCCGACGTCGCCTGTCAGTGAGTGGAGACTTGGTCCTGTAACAACTCCGCCTAATAGGAATGATACAGAACACTCTGAAGTTCCTGTTTCACAAGGAAACTTATCTGAGGTGCCAATCATCACTCAGACAGTAGCGAGTGTTCAGCATTCCACCGTCAGCTCCTTAGAGAATGCAGCAAGGAATAAGAAGTCTGCGATCACATCGGACCGCTTTGAGGACCAACAGAAGGGGAGTTCAGGATTTCTCGCGACCCTTAAGGAGATGGACATTCAGAACCAGCTCTTCTACTTGACGCTTATCATCGTGTTGGTGTGGGAGTTTGCGTCAGCTCCTCTCGAGTGGACAGCTGACGACGGGCTTTACGAGTATCTGGACTACGCAGATGCCTCAGACCGCCATGGCAGTGCCGATGTATGGGGTCTGCTCGGGGCGGTATGCGGGGTCGGGGGTGCCGGGCTTGTGGTCGCCCAGCTCAGTTGTCACGTAGCAGCCACTCGCGCTTCCAGAAGCGCTGTGCATTTCTATTCCTACACAGGCCTGGCAGCTCTAGCCCTGCCCGTAGGCGTCTACCTCCCTCTGTATCTGAACAGAAAGCGAGACCGGGCCAATGGGCTCCTTAAGGGTGTGCAGCTGGTCCATGGCTCCCCCCACGCTTTACTGTGCGCCTTCACCATCATCCTGGTCGGGGTGGTGAATTCGGCTGTGGAGAACTTCTTGCTTTGGCAGATGGAGGATCACGGGAGCACTGAACTGCACATGGGACTGTCCCTAGCTCTTTCTTTGCTCTCACAGGTGGTCTTCCCCCTCCTGGCTGGCAGAGTATCCAAACTCCTAAGCCCAGGGAGGGTTCTCGTCATTGGGGCCGCTAGTCTCGGGTTGCAGTGCTTCTACTACTCCTTCCTCTGGGGACCCTGGGCGGCCTTGCCTGCACAAGTGCTGGGTACCTTGAGCAGCGGCGCTGTTTGGTGGGCTGTGAGGATCCAATGCGAGGACATCGCAACACCAGGGGCCGAAAGAAACGTCAGGAGGGTCTACAGTTCCCTGTGCCTGCACCTTGGGAGTGGACTCGGGAGTTTTGCCGGCGGGTTCGTGGCGCAGAGATTTGGGATGACATGGTTGTTCAGAGGGGTTGCCATAGGAATTATGGCGTGGTGTGTGTGTCTTCCTTTCCTGCAGTGGAAAGCCCCACGTCAGCGCAGGATTAACTACTCGCGCCTTTTGGCAGCTGATGCAAGCGAGGCCAGTGACTCCGAATCTGAGCCGGAGAGAGACTGGCTGGATAAGGCCATGGAGAATGACCGAGGCAATAACAACTACGAAAGGCGACTCAGACACCAAAACTGACAGAGGTCGCGTGGTAAGAGGTCAGAATTAGCTCTGATCAGTAATGAGCTGGTTAAATCTACCTGACCCTAAAAATGTCCATCATTTTCAGTGTTGCACCAACAACACTTCCCTTAATTGCCTTTTTGAGTTTCTTCAAGTCTTTCAGGATATGCCTGTACCGTCTTTCTACATCTGTGGACTGAGACTTTTGCTCATTCTTCTTTGAATAAAGCCTCAAAGTCAGTCAGATTGGAAGAAAAGCATCTGGGAAAATCATATTTGAAGTCAAATTCACAGATTCTCAATTGGATTAAGGTCTTCACATTGACTGGGCCAATCTGACACATGAACATGCATTAGTTGTAGGGTTGTTACTGCTGAAAGTGGAAGGTCTTTTGCAAAAAAAAAATTCTTGGTACTGCCCCATCCCTGCAGAAGAAAATCATGATGTGTTCCGGTTCATGTGTATTGTGTCCAGTAAGGCATATTTTGACTTTAATAATTAGGGGCATGTGCTTTTGAGGCAGCAACTACTTCCTTTTAGAAATATGTGTAACACATATTTTCTTGACTTCCTTGACTATTTTATAGTCGTTACAAAAAATAAATTTGTTCAAATTTAGAATAGGAGATCAAATGTTGGTGGGTAACAGCCTAAAAAAGCCCAACTGGTGCATTTATAATCAAACTTGTCCAAAATACACTATTAGAAGACAGTTTACATCAACATTGGAATAGACATATTTCCCCATCAGATTTGCAACATTGCCTGACTTGTCACCCCTTATTACCACATGCCAGGTGACTATACTTGCTTTTCTCACCTGACAGGTTCCATTACCATCCAGAATTGCATTGCAATTTAATTTTAGCTAAACATTCCATCATCCTGCAGCACTTCAAGCTCTACCGAAAGATTCTGCTATTCATCTCCAAGCCTCGTCAGAGTTTACATGTACATATTTGCAAAGGTAAGGGTTGGGTAAGGTTAGTCGTTTCTTTGAAAACAAAGCTGCAAGATTACAAGGACCAAAAATCCGACCTCAGTATGCAAGCTCAACAGCTTAGACTTCATGAGAGTAGAAACACAGCAGCCTCTTAGTGCAGAGTAAACTCAAAGTGTGTGCAGAGGGCCAGGCCAAACTGGACTGGCATCCAGTTACAACCCCACCCAATCAGGGCTCTTGATCTTCCTCCACCTCTCACTGCTGCAGCCATCTTTTCTGTCCCTCAGACTTGACACTAAACTGTGAACACGTAGGATTAAATGGATGGAGATGCGCTCATTCTTTGACTGTGTGTATTTAACTTAAGCACTATTTAAATGACAGCTTCTGGGCATCTGTGGAGGACATAGCTGCCAAAGCTGTTTTTCAAAATGGGTTTGTGTGAGAGATACCTCAAGTCAGATGCTTTATTTTGATCTGTTAATGTTAACAGGCGTGAACTTGAAGCTTGTCAGCAAGTTTTGGGATCTCTGTGAAGTCTAAAGTTCCACCTCTATCAATGCTGATCGATGTGCAAAGGTAGCTGTTGCGAAATGGAAATTGAGATTTCTGTTTATGCATTGATGTCAAATTAATGTCTTATACTGTATTTACAGTCTAATAAATATATTTGAACATAAATGCATTGTGACGAGAGATGTTTGAGGCAGAAAGCCCTTAAAATTCTTCATAGACCTTAAATGTTTTCACATCGTGTTCATTTCAGTCACAAGCTTCCTAGAGATTAAGATTGTGATGTATTTTTAATTGAGTCAATACAACATAGTACAAATTATTAAGAGAAAGTAAAGTAATCCATGATGGTAATTCATCAAAAACATACCAGGAGTGTTGCTTTGATTCTTTAATCCATGTTTGAGAAATCCTTGAATCTCCCATGGCAACCATTCAGCAGTGCAAGACATCTGGTTGGACCTACCTCCGCCTCCTTGGAGCTGCAGTTTCCACATTTTGGAAACCTCTGCCTCACAGAGCACCCCTGCCCTGTGACTCCCCCTCTCAGCTCCTTCAGACTAGCCAGCAGCAATTAGCAACCACCTGGTGGTCCGCTTAGCTCTTTATACAAGCTGCTTCTCACAGTGCAACACTGGTAAAATCATTAAAGGGCTAATGGTTTCAGAAAGAGCAAGAGTTTCTTAAAGAGACATAGGCTCAATTTCGAGGTCAGTAATTTACTGACAAAAGTTTTTTGTCAGTAAATTACTAAGTCAAATTTCTTTTACATCATATTTGATATATACACCATTTTTATAACAGCTGAAGGCAACATACTTACTCGATTATGCTATAAAATGGCCCTATGTGGCTGGAAAAGTCCTGATAAGCAGTTGGGCTCCTGCCTGTACAGTGTATATAACCTGTTTGTTCCACTGCATGCAGGTTCATTTTTGCTTCGCTCCACCTGGAGGACTGGTGATGCCATTTCCAGCATGCTGTTGAAAGCTGTATTCAGTCAGGTGATGATGTAAAACACAGAGTGGTACAAGAAGCAGATGGCTGGTCGTTTACAGTCCCTGGAAAGGTGAGTTGTGAAGCATTATGGATTGTGGGAAAACTTCCGACTTTGTACCAGTAGGTGGCGCCTCTGAGAACAGATAATTTCCCTGTGAGGCTGAGCGCTGACTGGATTCATCATCTGCTTTCCGCTCCGCGCTCATTTTCTTCCAACACTGCATGGAGTCTGTTGATTTGTGTTTTATAACACTTCACCGACTTCACGCTTGAATCTACTCTGCAGCCTCGGGAAAAGACGCCATTTATTTTACAAACATGGAAAAAGAAAGACGATCCTCTGAACAGTACGGAGCGACGGAGAAACAAAGTGAGTTTATCTGACTGGAATCCTTTTTATTTATGCACATGTATTTTTATTTGTTTATTGTTTACATACTTAAATTAAGGGAGCAAGAGTTTTGAGTCACTTAACGTGCTACACTGTCTGAAAAACTTTATTGGCTTATTGAGTATTATTATTAATATAAAAGTAAATTCTGGAAAATAATTTTATTCTTATTGAGGAGAACATCTAAAGGTCGGGTTTTATTATTTTTAAAAATTGCTAACATTTACTAATATTATCCATCATATAATAATTATATTTAACTGGCAGCTTTGATTCTAAACATTGAGGGTTTTAAGGGTTTTTTCCAATTCAGTTTTGTGCTGATTACAGGATTGGATCAATGGTACTTTACTCTCTTATGGCTTAGAATAACTGCTTATTTTAGCCTGCAGTAAATCATATAAAAACATGTTTGGTGGCTTTATAGCTTTTGAATTTCTTGAAGAAAGGGGGAGAAAGAGACAAATGGGGAGACTTGAGATGTTTTTGCTCTGAAGTGTTGTCTTTACTTTATATGAATACTAACTAAAATGTTTAGGTAAGACTTTCTTACCAAAATGAAGTAGCAAATATCAGAAATGAACTATTATATTAAACATTACACGTGCCACTAATATCTTTTGTTTGGCTGTTTGTTTTTGTTTTGTTTTGTCATGCCAAAAATGAGGATTTCTAAAGAATATATAAATAAATAGAAGTTCCCCATGTATGTAAAATTGTAACATTGGCCACAATGTTGAAGGTAAAGTTTTTGAGTAAAAGGAGGGAAAGCACACAAGTTAAATTAAGCAATATGGTATCTAATGATTTGCTCAGCGTGTGTGTGTGTGTGTGTGTGTGTGTGTGTGTTATTCACAGCCTGTCAGTGTAATGGTTATGCCTTTTCACACAAGGTCATGTAATTAGAGGCCAATCTGAGCTCTGAAAGATGGATGACTCATCGCAGCCGGTGAGGAGTAGGAGGCTGCAGAAAGGGGCGGTGCTGTTCTTCAGTGATATTTAGAAAAAAATACATTTACTTTATCTATGTTTTTTTGTTGTTGTTTTTTTTTACTTTTTTTTTCTGCAAGAAAAGTACACAAAAACAAAAGCCCACCAAAAGTTGAGAGAAACGGATTCGAACGCAGGGCATTCTGGGTAAAAACAACCAAAAAGAAACGCGCGAGTCTACCGCTCGCGGGAGGAAAGGCTCGTTGTGTTTTTTGCCAAAGACAAAAAAGAAATCTTACAGCCACTAAAATTGACGCCACTCCGTTTTTGTTTAGATTTTTTGAAGAAGGATGTTGTGCTAAGCGTCTTCTTCTTCTTCTGAGCTTTTCGTGTCGTTTCCTTCAGTGGTTCTTGGTGCAACGCCCCCCACAGGCGTTTTGACAGTGCGAAAGTGAAACGCACCAGCTGGAAAATATAACAACATTTTCCGATTTCGAACCGGTGCAAGTACCCTTAGTATCAATAGACTTTTGGACTCAGCACAGCATCAATAATAACAACTGTTTAGCACTTGTAAGAAATATTTCCTGAAAATTTATACTCATTATTAGAACAAACAGATGACATTTAGAGATTGTTTTTCAACCTTCAAAGGTTGGTTTAAAGTTTTTCTCCTCATTATTTTGTAAGCCACACCCACTTAAGGAAATCATGACACTGCTGAATAAATCACATCCAGACACTGTCATGGTTATAGTTATGAAGTTTTGTATCTAAAAAGGCTAATTTATAACTGAAAAACAAAACTGTACATTTTATTCATTCTCTTGTTGCAGCTGAGGGATTTGAGCAACCAACACACAGAATAGCACTAGCATAAAATGATGTAATCTGAGAGAAATGCAGTCAGACCTGATTATTTCCAGCCCTCGAGACACTAACACTTTTCTCAAAGTTTAAAACTCCTCATCTTTTGATTTTTCTTCTTGTTGATTAATTTCGTGTTGTGTTTTTTTCCTGCCTTTCAGCGGAAAATGTCATCTCGATGGCCGACTCTACGGTCACAGTGGAGGACATCGAAGGGGAGCTGTTCAAGATTGAGCGGATACGTGAGATCCTCGTACGAAGAGAATCAGAGCTAAGATACATGTAAAATGTTTTCGTTTTATGTAAATCCCCCCCCCCAAAAAGCAGTGAAATTTGTTCCAACATGACAAAATATGAAAATGTTTTGCATTCATCTCCCTCATCAATAAACATAAAATGACTTTATTTTTCATTCAGCATGTTTTTTAGTGACTTACTGCGTGAACAAACTTATTCACATGTGACTAAGTTTGTTCACAATTTGTCCCTAATTGTGAAATTGAGTTTTTTCAACATTAGCAAAAATATCGTCAACGTTTTGTGCACATTTGTAGTGGAAACTCAGCTACAGACAAATAATTTAAGTAAAAATCGCCCTTGCTCTCATTATTAATCTGAAAGAATACATTGAGCTGTTCAAGCTCATTTTGAGAGAAATGGAGGCAAAATCTGCTTTAACTTGACCCCTGTTAAAGATATTGGCTTGACGGACAAAACATGTCTCTGGCATCATTTCATGATCTAGTTATTATTCCTTTGCTGCCTCAAGCACAGCAAAACCTTGTGTTTAAAATCCTCTGATTACCCCAGGATGGTCTTTGCTGTCCTTTGGGAAGAAGTCGTGAAGCGCCACAAGCAGCCATGTGCACGACAGCAAAATAGACCACAGGCATTATTAAAACTGTAGCAAGCTGCCAGAACCCTCTCATTGTTTTTAATTATTTTGCTCGTTTTCTGCAGAGACCTCATTATTTTTGACACTTTGCAACAGGGAGAGGGGGTTGGAGGCGGTTAATGATGAGGAAACATGTTGGAGTCGGTGTAATGGAGGCACAATGTGATTGAGACAAACTGACAATGCACCTCTCTTTGTTTTTTCCTCTATGATTTTGGTTTTTGCAGGAACATTTCTGTGCTATGTAACTCACATGGTGAAGTGTTTGTGTAAAACAGTTGGTTGTCAGGGAAAAATCTTTTTACTTTGCTTACCAAAGTTAAGTAACTGTCTCAAAATTGTTCCTTCTTGTTGTTTCCTACAGTCAAATTGATACCGATGTTGATAGAGGGAGGGTTACTGCCCTGTTTAAAAGCAATTTTAAACAGTTTACAATTGCTTACCTAATAGGAAAATTTGGAGGTTTGGTAATATTCATCCATCCATCTTCTATTCCTGCTTAAAAAATGTATCGCAATTCTTAGTTGTATTTGTTGCAACTAGGGGCGGGTATTTATTGTATTGTTTATCATTTATCGTCAAAACTTTCTTGTCATGATAAGAATTTTGATTTATAATTGTTACAAAAAATTTCAGCTAATGTTCAAAAAAATTTACTAAAATGTTATTTTTGCTATGTTCTCCTCTGTATTCCACAAGCCCATCCATAAATATTAGTCAGTTCAAAAATATGATTAAATCTACATGTGTAGCTTAGGGATATAAATCACACTTCTTTAAGTATGTGACGTCCTGAAGGAGCTTATATCAAAATACAAACATTTTTCAGGAGCAGCATTCACGTTTGACTGTGGTGCCATGCAATTACATAAAAAATAAGTAATACAAGTTTTTTATTATCCTACACATCATAATAAAAGTCTAAGTCCATATTGCCCACTCCAAACTGCTAGCTTGACAAAAGTGAATAAAAAGTATATAAAAATACGGCAGTTGTTTTGACACTAAAACAATCTTGGAATAAAGTCTGACCGGTGGCGTTATTTTATGTAAGCAGCATTAATCAAACTCAGCTCGTGTGTCTTGAAGTAGAGGTTAGCGTTAGCCTGTGGTATCTTCTGAGCTGTTAGCAAAAATACTTTGACGCTACGCAGCGTTTAGCTTTACGTAGACGATGTTCCACCAGGGTAGGATTCATTTTAGAACATTATAGTCAGTGTCTTACAAAAACGAAAGGCGGTCTAAAACTAAAAAGAACATATTGATAAAAGAAGCACTTCACTACAGCAGCTAGCTTCTGTAGCTTAGCTGTAATGCTAGCTTAGCATTACAGTTTTAAATCACATGTTGAAAACAGAATTTAACCAACAGCAGAAAAATATAGCAAGTAATACAGTAGTAGTAAACACTTTTCTGCTCATGTCTAACATGGTTATCTTTTAATTTTTTGTTTTTGGCTCAGGATGGATGACATTCAGCTCTGTAAAGAAATTACAAGGCTGAAACAGGAGCTGCAGAAAATTGTCACAACTCCAGGTAAATTGAAAAATATGTTGTCTTTTTAAAAATCTCTTTCTTTGTGGAGTAATGTCACACATTCTCGCCAACCCACTCACATCTTTTTCACAAAAGGCTTCCAGCTAATAGAGTTTTTGATTTTCTAATCTCTTACGAATTTCTGTCGCTGTAAGCAAAGTGAGTACACACTTTCAAAATGTGGACTCACACACATTTGGAAAGTGTGTGAGTGCTTAAGCGCGTTCCACACATAGGATTGTTTTGAATTCGAGTCAAATTTATTTTTTTCATTTCACTTGAGTTCAGATTTCCTTACGTTTTGTGATTCAAATGTTTCAGACCACTAAAGAAATTCCTTAGGTTTCGAGTTAGGCCTTTAGATAGCTCTAAAAGTATTGTTTTTTTAATGAAAAAATCTTTGCTATTTCAACATGATCTACATCACTAATCGACGGTGCCTTTTGTGATCCATCTAACCAGATGATATTAGTAAGATTTTGAAACAGGGACGGTAAACTATTTCAAACGGTAGTGGAAAATATCTAAATAAAACAAATTTCTTTTTATTTACAAGCTAATCCCAAATCATCTGCAGTTTTCATTTGAATACCTGGGACTGTGTGGGATGATGAAGCCCGTCTTGTGACTGTTAAACAGACAAAGACAGGTCCACAGAAGACGGAGAGAAGGAAGAGGAACTGCTGAAGCAGATAAACAAGCTGGTGGAGACCAGAGACTTCCTGGTGGACGACGTGGAGTTTGAACGGCTCAGGTGAGGCTAACGAACCAACAGCACTTTGAGCTTACAGACAGGAAAAGCTCCAGTATGAAAGCAGAAGATCACAGTTGACAGAGGAAGATGTTTAATTTAGATAGGTGATTTCACTAACGTTAAGTTTTTAGTATCTTGGCTCATTTTGGATCACTCTCTTGGTGACAGAATCTATCAGAAAATGTAGTGAAATGTTTGATATAAACTACTTTTTCACGGTGTAAAATACCTACTTTACTTTTGTTTCCCCTCTCTTCAAAGCTATTCTTTTGTATTGTGTTCATTCACTTCATTCCTTATTAGCCAGATCCTCTAACTTCTCTTGCTAAAGTATTTTATGATCTGCATCGTAAAAATGATAGGTCGAAATCTTCATTTTTCCAAAAGAAGGTGAGATTTATTACTATTATTATTATTATTATTATTATTATTATTATTTGGTGCTGTGATAAATTATATTTTGCAGAGTTGATCTATTATGTATCACTTTGTATTAAATAAACATAGTATCTGAGAAAACAAAATTCAAAAACAAAACGGCTCAAAGAGAGGAAACTCTGAGCGAGGGAAAACATGTTGACGTCGAATAAAAGTGGCCCGAGAACGAAACCTTGAGGAACCCCACCAGTGAGTTTCAAATTCAAATTCAAAAATACTTAAAAACAAACAAACAAACAAAAAGTATTTTTGAAAATGACTTTGACATTGAATTTGAAATTCACATGTGGGGTTCCTCAAGGTTTCATTCTTGTGCCTTTTTTATTCAACGTCAACATGTTTCCCCAGCTCTACTATGCTGATGACACACAATCTTACATGTCTAACAAGATAATGATTGGACTTAAGGCTCTTTGACGGGGGAAGAGCTGTTCAAATGATCCATTTTTTTTAAGAACGAGCAATTTTATCCCTAACTTAGTTTTATATTAATTGTTGTGGAGGGCCGAATTTCATGTAAAAAGGCTAAATCGTCTGCATTAAGTAAAAATCTGCAATATGGTCTTGCAAAAGAAGTATAAACTTTTTCATAAAATCTAACATTTCAGAATACAAATGTCAAACAGTGCACTTTTGTGTTGTGTAAGTTTTGACCCTTTGTTTGCTATTTGTTTGTTTAGAGGGATTAAATTAGCTTTCAGCCCTGATAAGATTTCACCTGGTGTAAATAAATAACTGAGTGACATTTCAATTTTCCCAAACTGGAGTGTCAGCTGGGACGCTTCATAGGCTGCGTGGTGAGTATTTACAGCAGATATAAAAATGCAAAATGAGAAAAGAGCTGTCCTGATTCAGCATTCACGGAATTGATTTGCCGGTCTGGTCTGTGGTCTTAGTTTACCGGTGCATGAAATAAAGCATTAAAACCATGTCGTAGAACAGTGAGGTCCATATTGTCTTCTTCAGGGAAAGAGAGGAAGACAAGGAGATGGCAACTTTCCTGGAGTCCAAATTTCCCAATTCTTTGGCCAAAAAAGGTGAGTTAAACAAGTCACTGAATACCACTGCTATGTGAAGATGTGAATTTTACAACGTGACTTAACAGGATCCATTAATACACTGAAAAAGTTGCATTTGATCAACAAGAAAATAAACATTTTGACATAAAAACTTTTAATACATTGTTTTCCCACTCATTGCGTCTTTCTCTGATATCATGCAGCTCTACAGGAAGTTACATCCTATGAATATAGAAGTTCAGATTTCATGGGTAATAACTATTTTCCGTTCTTTTGCCTCGTTCAGGTGCTCCGCGAGATCGAAGGGTTGCATCACAGTCCCAGCGGACATCCAGTCCATTTCTCACGAAAGCCGGACTGACGCTGCTAAAAGACTGCTGTGGCTTCACCTGCTCCGTCATGTGAAGGAGTGAAAAGCTGCGTGTGTGTGTGTGTGTGTGTGTGTGTGTGTGTGTGTCTGTGTGCGTGCGTGTGTGAACACAAATGGGACTCCTCAGTGTTTTTACGTATCCATTCTGTGGGTTTCCTTTAATGACAAATGATTCTTTAAGTGTTCAATCCACTTAAGCGTTTACTGCATCACTGCCACATTGGAGTTTCATGGACAGAAAAACAAAACGTCGAACATGATTGTGACATGTGGCTTTTGAATGTTTGTACACATAAAATGTGAAAAGTGTGGTGTGCGTTTGTTTTCAGCAACTTTTTCCTGCAATTGGAGTTGACAAACTAACACAAGTTCAGTCAAATTGGATGGAAATTGGACCAGATTTCAGAAAATGTTCACAATTGGGCAGTAGCCCAGGGTGCCATTTTTGAGAGGAGAATTGAGGGGCGTCAAAGATTTTATTTTATTTTTTAAATCAATGTGTATTTTGCAAACATTTTACTTTATATAAAACTCTTAGATCCACATCAGGTGTATTGTATTAATATTTTTGGGGGATTTTTAGGAAAATCAACAACACTCAATTATTTGAAAAGTCAAGTTTAATTGTGTAGCACATTTCAGCAACCAGTTGTGAAACAAGCACTACGCTGACAAAATGTACCAATTAATGTTACATTGTTACATTTTGTCAAATGCCATCATCAAAATCATCAAGCAAATACACACAAAATATGTTATTATGAATCAATGGCAGCTGTGGGTTACACTTGCCAATCTACATGTTGCTCTCATCTGACCAGAGCGTTGGCTTCTAATCACCTAAATAACTCAGAACAAACTGTCTGTAGCATAAAATTAAATAAATTCAGTGGTTGTAACCTCACACGATGTGAAAAAGTTGAAGAGTTTGTTTTTTAATACCTTTGAACATTTCTGTATATATGGTCTACAGTTGGTTTCTATAAATTGCTTCCTTCACACAATCTCGTTAGCATAAGTGATGCTGATTGGCTTCATTACTAATCATCTCTCTTTCCAGTTAAAGTGATTGGATTTGATTATGGCTGTTCTGGCGGTTTAATTATGCAATCTGTGATGTATCAGATGGAGTAAGTGTAGATCCCTTGAGAGAGGAAAACACTCTTGCCAATCTTAATTTCTGTCGAGTGAATATCAAATTATAAGAACCAACTCTGTAGCTGTTTATAATTTAATTTATTTGTGTAAATGTGCCCTAGTCTTTGTTTTTCCAAAGATCAAGTGATGGTTTAAATGAAATTCAAGCACGGTGATGAACCCAAAATTAACATCTGCGCATCGTTTTTACAACATAGGGGGGTTTCCAGAGTGCGGCACAGAGTCCGTTTGTTGCCCTACGATTGATTTATTGTGGTCCCGGATCCTGTTCTTGTTGCCAACAACACAAACATCAAAAATACCTGGATGGAAAAATTGGAATCACAACATGTCTCCTCTACTAACCCAAAAACAATGTTTTTACCAGCACTGCATTGAGAAGTGGCTCCTATAATAAGCTCAGTTCCACCAGGTGTTTGCTAATAGCTGCTGGCTAGTCTGAAGGAGCTGAGTGGGTTGCCATGGAGATTCAAGGATTTCTCAAACATGCATGAAAGAATCAAAGCAACACTCCAGGTATGTTTTTCTGATGAGGAAATAACATGATTATAACATGATGTTAAGCTCAAAAGTTGATGTTGCGCAACACTGTGCCTTTAAAGAAGGAGATTAAATAAAACTAGAACTAAAACTTTTGAGATTTTTATCTTAAAAGATTGAAAACTATCCCTTCTGACTATGTGACAAATGTGCCACAGTTAGTGGCTTATCATCCAAAAATCCAATTAAAATATGTTGAATGTGTTTGTAGAAAGATAAAAAGAAACAAGTAAAAACATCCACTCTGGTCCTACATCTTTACTACCATGACGACAGGATGGGGAGGTGTTAGCTGGGAGTGTCGCTGCTGAGGATGAGAACAGATGGTTTCAGCTCCGACCCCGGCTCTGTCGCCCCTCTGACCTACCGGTGACTCATGCTGACGAGTTACGGCTTAATTGCTCCACAAGCTGGGACATCGAGAAAAATCTTTCTAAGAGACTCTCCTTCTTTCAGTCTGCAAAGTTCCTCCTTTCTCCCCCCCCCCGTTCCCCCCTTCATAAGTGTGTTTTGTTGTTCTTTCGTCATGACAGGTGCTAAACAGATGGTTATACAGTCTGACCATGCTAATGGGAAGCAAGAGAGGACACAGTTTGTTCCTGAACGTAGCCCTGGGTTGACGGTTCCAACTTTGTTAGAATAGAATAGAATAGAATAGAATAGAATAGAATAGAATAATCTGTCAAAAGATTAGTCTCCTCTACCTATTCCCCCGAGTTTCTACATCTCTCCAAATGATTAGCATAGCTTCTGATTCGACCTGATCAAAAACAACCAATCAGAACCAGAAGGAGTGTCTTAGCGCTGCCAATCACCTCATGTACTCGCTGCTAAATGTGCTTCTGGCGGAGAAACAATTTACCATTACAGGAAAATCGTTCATCCTCTGTCAGTGGTGGACATGCTAACTAGCCTTAGCATTCACACACTGCTATGAGGAAGAAGCTGCAGGATAGCAGAGAGCAAGGGGGAAGCTGTATGTAAGCATAAGGACGATGGACAGCACTAAGACCCGCCTCCTGACCCTGATTGGTTGTTTCTAGTTAGCACTGGGAGAAAGCAAAGGAGCTCGATTTTTTTCAGATTTTCTGTCTCATACCATACTGTCACGACCTTTTCAATAAATCTGTAAAAAATATATATCTTTTGTTACATACAGCAGCTTCAATACAGGTTAGTGCGGCCTCAGTCCGCCACACAGAAGTTTATCTCTGTAATTTTTCCACGATAATCTGACTAAAGATCCCAGAGTATTCTTTTTGTCACAATAAAATGTGAATAATTTCATTTAGTTTATTAGTAAGAAATGATGCACGTGCCATGAACAGGTCTCCTAAACGTGGACAACTGCGTCACCTGCTGGTGATGTCAGTGAAGTGTATCGGCAGTAAGAGTGAGTCACCGTTTCTGAGTCATAGCTACACTCGGTAGGATGAAACAACAAACCCAGCAGTTCTTCTCCGTAACGACGCAGTCATTCTGACACCAGCGCCGTCCATGTTTGGGTTTTACAGACTGAAATGATTTATGGCGTTAACCTGATGTTGAATATTCAAAAACATTTCAATCTGGAATATTCTGCTCACTCGTTTCTCGTTTGTCCCCCACCGGTTTGAGTGAGCGATAAACTTTGCCTCAGGTAAATTTTCGCTTTTTCATTTGGAAAGTTCTTCATTTCTTTTATTTCTTTATTTGGGGCACATTTTACCAAAGTGAAACAATCCCCCAAAACACACTAAAGTGAGACATTCCAGAAAATCATAATTCTGATTAAAAATCAATTCTGTCCGACCTGACGACTGCATTTAAAGCGAGCCGAGCCGAGCCGGCCGAGTAGAGCCGGTGGAAAAGGGGCAAAAGTAAAACAGTTTCTTCAGCAGCTCCCTCCATCGTGACTAAATCACGATTAATTCAAAGTTGTATAACACACGTGACAAGGGCAGAGTGTCACAATATCTGGCAACTTATTTTGCACAGGAAAAAAAAAAACGTACAAAATTTCCACCACGGGGACTGAATGAAAACGCAGTTCACACTTTCTGAAAACCACTTCCACTATACGATTATACAAGTTTTAGGGCCACGAAAGGAAAATACAAATTAAAGAAAATTACGGGAATAAGGTCCTATATCCAACAATGAAATAGTACTACGAGAGAAAAGTAATAATACAACTTTATTTTCACATTATGACTTTAATCTCGAACTGTTATTATTTTTGGTTTTCTCGTATTATTTCGATTTTATTATCGTAATATTATGAATTTAATCTCGTAAATGTATTTTTTAAAAATTGTTTCGCGTGGCCCCCTAATACTCCGTCGACTGTAAAATGGGAGGTAGTTTTCAGAAAGTATGGATACATTTTTTTTCTTAGGTATAGTCCAATACTTCATGTTCTACGCACTACAACATTACATTTTTTAATAAATAGTTTCTTTTCTATTTTTTTTTCCCTTTCTTTCGGTTGCGAGGATCTGAAAATGATCCTCAGAGTTTTTTTATACAGTTAGAAAACAGTATACTGTATGTTAGCATACGGTATACTGTTACGTATGTATACCATATATATACATACCTAACTGCAAACTGTTAGCATACAGTAACTGTAAGCTCGGACAGTTACTATATGCTAATGTAAATGCAAATATTCTCTTCTGTTATTTCTTTCTTTTCTTTTCTTTTATGGAGCAGACATCCAAGCAGCCGCCGCGGGGCGCAGTTACACCGTACCGACCTTGTAACAGCGAGCATCTGATAAGTAGCAGGCTGCTTTCCCTTTAAAGTCTGACGCACTCGGTGCTCCACTTTGGAGAAAGCAGCAGCAGCAGCAGCGGCAGCAGCAGCAGCAGCGGGGGCCCGGGGACGTCGGCGCTTCGCTGGACCGTCTCACCGTCCACCATCATGGAGTTTCTGCTGGGGAATCCGTTCAGCTCGCCGGTGGGCCAGCTAATCGGTGAGCTCTCAACGAACGCAAGAAAAAACAGAGAAGGAAAATAAAAAATTAAAGCGCTTTAACGCGATCACTGGCTTTGCTCAAACGTTCCGCCCAGGCTCCACCGAGCTGCCATTTACTCCGTTCTGCAACCTGTTTTCTATTTATTTATTTATTTATTTTTATTTTATTCCAAGACATGGTGCGTTTCACCATGGAGGGGGAAACAACAACTTAAACGCATGAAAACAGATGGAGGCGCAGCGGCTTACGGCGTGATTGACGCCCTGAGAAGACAATGATTAGGCGGGGGAGGTGTTGGGAGACCGATCGGTCCCCGTTGGCTCCGTTTTTAACCTGCACCGAGCTGAGCCGGACATCCCACCCCCACCCACCCCATCTGACCCAAATGAGAGCAGGCTGCAGCACATTAACATCACACTGGCTTTTCTGTGCCACTAACTCACTAGTATTCGCAAACTGACTGCTTCAAATATCTTTATTACTATTTTTATTTTTTGCTCTAATATCAACGATTAAGGAGCTCGTTTTCATTTATTAAAAGAGACAGCGGTAACCTTGGGAACCAGGAAGCGCATACACCCATATTGACATTTTCTAATGTAATGCCTGTAAACAATGCTAAGGGTAAACAGATGAGTTTTTTCCGTCTAAACAACATGCTAAGACTTTATTAGCATGTTGTTTGTTTTCATCTTTCTGTAAAATGTGTCAACTTCCGGGGTTTTACGTTTCTTATATCGTGGATTTCTTTCAATTGTTTATGAAAATGTTATTGTTGTTGTTCTTAACGGGTGTACCAGTGTGCTTCTATTTGTGTAACTATTGCTGCTTTTGACCAATTTCAACTTTTACCCTTGTAGCTATTTTTTAACAATAAATTAAAATAATCACTTTTACCGTCAGCTGTTTTCGGATCAGCGATGCACCGATCCACTTTTTTCACTTCCGATACCAGTACCGATATTTGAGGGTTAGGTACCAATCCGTCTGCTGAACTCACATCAAACTTTTCTTTTTTTTCAAACACAGACATAAATGTACTGAATTACAAATTTATTTGATAATTCTGCGCCAGGACGGCACACTTAAATACACAAGTAGCTTCAACAAGCTTGGTAAAACGTAAAAACAACACAACTTTAATTTGTCCAGTCAGTTCAATCAGGAGTATAACAGCCAGTGTAAGATAAATAGTAATGAAACTGAAACTGATAGACAAACTATTGGTTTTTTTTCTATCTTGGTGAACAATTTAAAAAAATAAACTGCAATAAACCTTTTTTCAATTGGATCAGACAGTGAAATTAGAGCACAAAGCATAGAATTAGACTTTATAGATCTGCCTTTATGGATTTGGCACATGTCACCAATACCCAATCTAGAAATTTTTTTCAACATCATCGATACAGATATTAATATTGGATCGTTGCATCTCTAATTGTGATAGGATCACAGTTTTCATCTCTATATCTGGTGTCTGCAACCTGCAAAATGTGGCTGATTTAAAATATTAAACAATGAAATACTGCCCCTTTTTTTATTTATGTATTTTTTATTCTTTTGTTCTGTGCCCCAGTGAGGAAACACTGGCCCCACCCTGAAACCCCTTCCTGGCAAAATTGGTCTAGAAAAACCCCCACTCTCAATTTATCTATCAATCATGCTACTATACTGGGAATTTCCCATCAGAGGGATAAACAAAGGACTGTTCTATTCTATTGTCACCCCCAAAAAAGGAAATTTACAAACTCATGTTTCCACATTATTTGCGTTAGTTTTTACTGTTTTTTTTGTTGTTGTTGTTTGTTTGTGCTAGGTATCTAGGAGCGTGCTGCTATTAAAGTACCAAAATGAAATGTTCACATAGCTGCGCACATTTAAGTTTCCTGTGGTCATCAGTGTTCATCAGTCTTATCTGATCCAGCCCGTCTCTTCGGAGCTGTAAATGATTCTTCCAGGTTTTTTGGGTCAAACAGGAAATCGTTTATCCTTCATCCAGGCAGCCATGCAGGAGCTAAAAATATCCCCACATAATGAAGATGTGCGTCTCCACAATGGCGCTCGCCTCCTGAAGTAAACCACACCATGCAGCTTATACACAAAGTATTACTGAATACCTAGCTTGATGCTACGTTGCCGTTTCTTTTCATTTTAGTATTTTTATCCTTTCATTTCAGTACGTTTCAGTGCAACCCCTTTGAAGAGAATTCATTTTATGATGTAATTATAAAATTAAAGTATTTTCCCTAACTAATTTTCCTGTCGGTGCATCGCTAATATACAGTTTCTAATTTCCAAATGTCCAGAACTGTAGCTAAATGTTTAAGCTAAAGAATTAAAAAACAAAAAAAGACCAGCTGCTAATGGTATAATAAAAAATGTGATGCATAAATATGGATAAACGTCGTATTTGTTGGCATTAGCATTAGCAAACTGTTTGACGTCTCTTGACTTTTTGGGGGGGTTTTACAGAGCGTGCCACTAACTCCAGTTTACCATCTGAAGACTGGGAACTCAATATGGAAATCTGTGACATAACCAACAGCTCAGAGGAAGGGTGTGTATCCGTGTGTGTGTGTGTGTGTGTGTGTGTGCTATCTGTCATGATCAGAAACATGCCCTTCCCTCGAGCTTACATGCGTCTAACTGTTGCCACCTCTCTGACTCCCAGGCCCAGAGACGCAGTCAGAGCCATAAAGAAACGGATTGTGGCGAACAAGAACTTCAAGGAGATCATGCTGGCTCTTACTGTGAGCGTCGGTTCTGTTTGTCGTCGTGTGAAATCTTGGGATTTAAACAACTTGGTTTCCTTTGGTGTTTTTTCTGATAGATTTCCTCTTCATCCTCTTTCCGACCGCAGGTCCTTGAGATGTGTGTGAAGAACTGCGGCTACAGATTTCACATTTTGGTGACGACACGCGACTTCATTGAGGGCGTTCTGGTGCGCGCCATCATCCCCAGGAACAACCCGCCACAGATCGTTCATGACCGAGTCCTCGGCATCATACAGGTGGGCCGAGTTCGGTACTAACTGGTTACATTTACTTGGGTAACTTTTTGGGAAGTATTTTCGTTTAGAGAGCGTTTACGCTTTGCTTTTACTTTAGTGACTTTATTGCGAAGTGTCGCTAATTTCTGGAAGTTTTATTTTGAAAGAAACTAATCTTGAAATTTTTTTTTCTTTCGCCTGAATTTGTTTTTTTTTCTTGTAATCATGTTATTTAGATGAATTATTTTCATATCCTTAAATTTCCACGTGACTTTATGTTAACAAATGACGATGTGTGACGTCATTTGGTTTGTCAAAATGTAAGGTTGTGTGTTAGTGTCTTACGGAATCAAAAATAAAACAATTCATCTTAATAAGAGANTTACAAAATNACAGAAATCAGGGGAAAAAATATTCCAAATGAATTTCTTTTTAAATTAAAATTTTTATAAAAATTTTAGGTGTGTGTCTTTGTTTGGTGAATTTGTGGTAAAACAAAAAAAGGGAGATTATTTTTGTTGTAATGATGTTATTTAGATGAATTATTTTAATTTCAGTCCTTAAAATACCAACTTTTCCACATAACTTTGTTTTGATGCCTGACGTCATTCAGTTTGTTAAAATATAAAATTATGAGCAGATTTTGGTGTGTTAAGGAATAAAAAAGAAAATTATTCATCTAAATAAGAGAATTACAAAACAACAAAATGAGGGGGGAAAAAATCCTGATCAGTTTCTTTCAATATAAAACTAACAAAAGCCTTTAGTTGCGTATCTGTGTCTGGTGAATTTGTGGTTAAAAAAAAGAGATGATTTTGTTACCTTGTAGTCAATTTGTTTAAATCATTTTGGTCCTTAAAATGCCAAAATTTCCACAGAACTTTATATTTTGATGTCTGACATTATTTGGTTTGTCAAAATATAAACTTACAGTATCTGAAAATTTTGTTGTTTTAATGACTAATATGAAAATCATTACAAAACAACAAAATCACTCACTTGAGTAATTTCTTGGACAGCTACTTTTTACTTTTACTTCAGTAAAATATGTTGAACTGGTGCCGCGGTTAGTGGAACAGCATTTTTAGGTGCCAGGCTCTGCAGGTGGGGCTGAGGTGAAACAAAGAGCCCCACCTGCTGGACCTGGTTTTATTCGCGTCATCGCCCCTGAGTAACTTGTGGTTTCTTCTCTCAACAAGGCGTGGGCCGACGCATTCCGCAGCTCGCCCGACCTGACGGGCGTGGTGTCGGTGTACGAAGACCTGCGGCGGAAGGGACTGGAGTTCCCGGCGGCTCAGCTCGACGGCTACCCGTCGGCTCAGCCTCTGAAGAAGGTGCAAGGCGCCGTTGCTGTGCTTTCCGATCCGCCTCCTCTTGTCTTTTGCTCATTTCCTTATCTCTTGTCTTCTCACTGCCTCTGCGTGTGGCAGACTTTACCTGGGAACGGGCCTGCTGTTACTGCTCTGTCTGCTGTGCGCCTGTCCACTAAACCTCCTCTCATCCCCACTCACACCTCTGAGCTCAGACTGGCCCTGGAGGGAACCGGTGCCTTCACTCCCAGCCAGGTGATGCAGCCAGAAGTCAACAGCTGACTGTCACCGCGCTCTGACAATTTCAGTTTCTCTGTCGTCACCTTCCTAAAAAAATAGCCCAAGTCTTTTTTTTTTCTTCTAAAATTTGGCAAAAAAAAAGTTTGCCAAATAAAATTTGGCAAAAAAAAATACATTATTTTAGGAAGGTGGCGCTATGGTGGCTTAACAATTGCTTATTATTTCTATTTCTTACTTTGGCCTTTAACCTTCATCCTTCCTTTCACTAAGAGTTGAGTCACTCAACCAGCAGGAGTGTTTGTGGCTGATATCGGACCACTAGTTTTGTGAAGCTCTGACCTTCCAATAAGTTTTAGCTAATTAGCTAATTTCTATTTAGGGGTTTTAAACAAAAACATAGAAAATGTATCTTTTTAAAGGGACAGTATTTTGTGTTTTCCTGCCATTTTCTAGCATAACAAAGTAGCTATGTTAACTTCAGTTAAATATGACTTAAAAGTAATTTGACTTCCTCATTTAACGCCTTGAAATTGCGCTTCTTTCTCTTTAAAACCTCCTACTCCTTCTGAAACTCCACCTTGACAGATCATTATTGAATTACAGTGAGAGCAGAGGCGACGTCACACTGTGCACATGTGTGAGCAGTGTGTGTTACAGAGCTCTGCAGATAAGCACCATTCCTCTGCTGTTTCAAAACAAAGACAACGTGATCACAGATGTGACATTTTAATCTGCTGTAGCAAATTAGCATGATCAGCACAATTAGCACTAATATCTGTGGATTTACTTTACTTTCATATTAAGATCAGAGATTTCCAAAACTTCCAACACGTCCTAATCCAGCGTAATCTACGGTGGATACCGTTTTTGAAAAGGAAAACTTTAAGACGTCCAGCTTCCTGTTCACTCCTGAAATCTCACCCCGAGTTAAAAGGACCAGCCTCACTTCCTGTTTAGTCACCTCGCTAACACTTGGAAAACAACGAACTCTGATTCTTCTTCCTACAGTTTCTACTTCCACACTGAAAAGTGTGGCTGTAAAGTAATGTAGTGCTTAGCTACAGTGGATTTATTGCTCAGAAAAGAAATTAGTTGTTTTCAACCTTTTAGTGCAGAGATGCACTGATCCGATATTAATATCTGTATCATCCTGTTATCAAAACAAAAGTTTCTAGATTGGGGATTGTGGCAATTCAGTCTAATTCTATGCTTTGTGCTCTGAGCCACGTCAAACTTTATTATTTATTTTACATTATATTTAGAATTCCTAATTACACATTGGAAACAAAGTTCGTAGCAGTTTATTTTTTTTATGTTTTACCAGTCTATTGTTTTTCTCAGTTTCAGTTTCTTTCTTATTAATTTTACATTGGCTCTTCTACTCCTAGTTTCACTGACTGAACAAATCAAAGTTGTGTTATGTTTATGCGTTTGTTGTATTCAGTACATTTATGTCTACGTTTAAAAAAAAGAAATATTTTAAGTCGTTGATTCCCTGCATGGGATCGGAATCGGCCGATATCAAACCTCCGATATCGGCATCGGAAGTGAAAAAAGCGGATCGGTGCATCCCTCGTTTGGTCGTTGCCAGCTGATTTCTCAGCGCACCTCGGCTTGTCGCTGCGCTCTCCGACTCACTCGCCGTGTCGCTGCAGGTGAAGATGCTGAAGACGGAGCTGGGCGTGGTGCGCACCAACCTGTCCACCATGTCGGAGATGATGAGCCAGCTGGACCCGGTCACGGCGAAGCAGGCAGACATGGAGCTGCTGGAGGTAAAAATGGATCCGTCTCCGAGCCGAATGCGCTCCGAGCCGAATGCGCTCCGAGCCGAATGCGCTCCGAGCCGAATGCGCTCCGAGCCGCGTCACTGTGGATTTCCTTCCTCTCCTGTCGCTTGATGACTCTGCGGTGCCCTTAACTGATCTAGCGCTTCATGCGCTCCGTGCTGCATCCGGCCCTTCAATCCCCCCCCAACCCACACATGGTTTGTCTGGTTGTGTCATTAGCAGTTGTACACTGTATGTAAGGAAATGCAAGACAGGATCGTGAAGATCATCCCCAGACTCAACGAGGAGAACCTGATCGAGGAATTACTGGCCACCAACGATGAAATGAACACTGCCTTCACTCGCTACCACAGGTTACTGCATTATTATTATTATTATTATTATTATTATTAAAACGCTTCAATAAGGCTGTTTAATCCCCATTGGTTGTTTTGCTATCTACAGGTTTGAAAGAAGATTAACCAACGGTCAAAGCACAGAGCAGAAGGTAAAGAGCAGCAATACGCTCATTTTGGTGTCGTGTATCTGTTGGATTTTACACTTTTCTTTTGATTCCTTGCAGAGCGACAACTACATGAACCTGTCGGACCTTTATTCACCCGTCAGCCAATCAGGGATGGCCTCAGTTAAAAGCGACAGCTCCCTCAGTCTGTCCAAGCCAGACAGTTTGTACAGTCTGATGGCCAAGCTGAGTGAGTGCCACATTTCTCACTGCTCCTCTAACGCAGCTCGCTTTCTGTAACTCGCTCAGAGCTACAGTATAAATGCTACCAAGATGAGTCATAAAGGGATGAAACTGAAATATTGTGATTTTTTTTATACATATATTATGGAGTGACATTTATATTTCGCCTGGAGTACCTGCTAAAACGTTGCCTGGTGTTTGGTGTGGGGAATCATCTGGTTAAGTTCGTGTTATGTTTTTTAATTACACAAATCAATTAAGTCAAGTCAGTACAATTATTTCTTAATTTGGAAATATTGTTTCTCATTGAATTCATGTACCTGTTTAAGTGTGATATGTTGCTTTAATGAAAACAAAGATTTATTTGTTTTTCTTGTGTGTAGCGATATATATTTGTTACATTTTTAATGTGCCGTTTTTCTGTATAAATATGAAGCATGTTGTTTTTGTACCATTTTCAATTCAATATTTTATTTAAAGATTTTACCATTAATTCCCTTGACATTGTTGCTCTCCCCTTTTTACAACGCTTCCTGTTTTTTTCATATTCAGGTACAAGCGAATCAGATGACATGTTATCGCAGAAAATAAACATCTCAAGTCAACAACTAACAAGGTAAACAAAAATAAATAAATGAATCAATTCTAAAAGGCTAAAATCAGCAACGCACTGAACAGTATTTTGTTTCCAATTTCTCGTTATTTTTTTATCTGCTTACTACTTATTTTAGCTAATTTGAATTTCTCTTATTTATATTGTATATGGGGAGACATCGTTTTAAAACAAAGGCAAAATGACCTTAGAATTAACAGTTTTTATTGTATTTAGCATCTTATATTAGCAACATGGGTAATGCTAGCATGGCTAGCAGCATCAAAACAGCAGTGTCTGTGACCATAAAGCAGACGTTCATCTTCACTCTTAAGATTTTCAAGACATTCTGAAATCTAGCAGTGAAAATGCCAATTACTTTGCTGCGCATTTTAACAAGATTGAAGATACAGTTGACAAGTTGCGATACCAAGAAACAGTGGTGGGCTAACAGTGGGGGGTGAGGGGGGGAATCCTTAACACTTTAGCACTTTTGCTAACTTTGAAAACATTTAACCCAATTATCTTGCCCTAAATTAATTTTTCCAGACCATATTGGTTGTAGCGCTTTTGTGTTAGCAGAAGCAGAACTAATTTATCATTAGTGCTATAAGATTAGCACAAGTAACTTTCTTGTTAGCATGCTAACAGTGGTGGGCACAAGTGTGTTTATCCACTAAAAACAGAGTAATGTCTTTTTGGTTTTGTGCTTTGATGTTTCTGCTAACTTTGAAAATGTTTAATTAGCCCACTGCTTTAGGGAGTAGCTAGCAGCACCTACCACTGCATAGAAATAAATCCAAAAAATTAAAATTAGGGATGCATGACATATCTGCATAAACATCTGCCAATGGTGTTCATTTTTTAGCATATCAGATAAAAAAAACTAGGTCAATAATCAATTTCCATCTTGTTGCCACATTTGTATGTGTTTCTGGAGGGATGGGGTTAGCTGAAGCAGAGAGGCTTCTGCTAAACCAGTGTTTCTCAACCCTGGTCCTCACCGCCCCCCCTGTCATGCATGTTTTCGGTATTTCCCTTCTGCCACACACCTGAATTGTATCTCTGGGTGATTAACAGGCTTCTGCAGTACTTGATGGTCATGCAATCATTTGGATCAGCTGCTCTGGAATAGAGGCACATCTAAAACATGCAGAGCAGGGGGGCGGTGAGGACCAGGGTTGAGGAACACTGTGCTAAACACTGGAAGTGTAGGGAAAAGTATATATACATTAGGGCTGTTGTAAACAAAT